CAAGCCCGAAAGTCGTTTCACTTCTTCACCTAGGTGGCATTCTGGGGCCCAGATTCGTCTAGGTGATCATACATTCAAACGGATTGCCAGAGATAAGCGCTATTCACTCATCCAAACACCCCGAACTGATCTTTTGAATATGTACCCTCTTTTCTATCTCATTCCATACGTCGTCATTTCAATTCAGCCGCCCCATCTACAATCCCTTCTCAACCCCAACCCGCCCCCGACCTTTCAAGCCCCACCCGGTTCGAGCCTTTTCAAAGCCCCCGAAGTCAACATAACCCCAAGTATCACTTAGACTTATCTTGATCTGATTCATCTCACTTCAACCTGAATTAATTCTCCTCGTGAATCACTCGACGCTCGGTTTGTATGTCTGTTTTCTATGTCTTGAATTCAAACGCAACTCATTCAAAATCCCTACAGGTATCATGAAGGCCTTCGTGAAGACACAGGAAGTTGGAATGCTCAGACACACAGGTTTTAGATTCTCGGTTCCGTTGGATGGTGTTTTTTACAGTACCAGTAAATATTCAGACCTCTGCATACATAACCCTTACTATGGCAAATCAGATCCATTGTACTGCCAAATGCCATCTCATCAAAGTATATTTCCAGCCTGTGCGCCAGAGCAGAGCAACAGCACGTCTTGTATTAAATAAGGTCATTTATTATCATAGGCTTCTCCACCCCATGCCAACAAATAACTCTTGCAATAAAATCATTGAGATATTTTGTGTAATCCAGTCTGTAACTTCATGCATGACATAGATGCCCATTCCAACAGAGTACAACTTACTACATAGATATGCACGACCCTCAACAAGTTCCTTCTGGAAAGGAGGGCTGTAAAAGCATTCACCATGGTGTGCTTGGCCAAGTGAATGCTTCATCCTGTGTTCCTGCTTCTGCAGTTCTCTGAGCACATTACGGAGGGCCTTGAAGGAATTAAAGCTCGGGGGGTGCACACATTGGTGATCCTGCATCCCTGTTTCTGGAACGAGACATGCCTGCGCTCCGCTCCGGCGCACAGGTTGAAAACAAACTAAACCACAAAGTGTTAATTTCAGATAGGCATATAGCACTTGAAACAATGAATATATATTCGTTGAATTTCTTATGAGGAACCACAGGAGCTAGTGAGATGCAACTGAATTCAAGGATGGCAAACAAAAGTTCAAGTATCATCCAACAAAATTCGTATTCGGACTTGATTCGGAACAAAAAACCCAAGTGGACCCCCTTGAGTGTGCACCTGAGTCTCAGAACAACGATCCACACAGTTCAGCGCTGAAACACTGACTATGGGGCTGGCGGTGAAATAACCACAAAACAGACCTTGTAAATGAATACGCGGTTCGATGGTGCGACTACAACAACTCATACACTAATAGTCCTCGTGCAAGTTCGGGGTTCCAATCTAGTATAGATTGTGGCAATTTGAACTTTAGTTCTCTTTGAGAAGCAAGACTTTACAGGTCTACAAGTCGTATAGATAAAACTTGCTCGAGTCCGTTCTAGGTGCAATCGCGGATAGACAGATGAGATTTTATGTTCAACGGTTTTGTATGATGTGGGTCTAGGTTTGGAGATAGTACTCCGATGCGTAAAGCAAGTGATTCTTATGAATCCCAATTCCAAATAGTATCCGCAATTGCTAATCCTTGCGAGATTACAACCAATTGTCAAGTCCGATCTGTTTCCTTATATTCCACGTGTCCGTTCTGTTTATCCAATATGTCCACGTGTCGTTTATAAAGATCCAAATCCAACACAGATAATATTCAAACAGGGAAAACAAACGAAACTTGGTATAGCTTCTGGGTGTCTCCGAATGAATGACTACTCTACCGGTTAAGCGTGAAGTCTAGTAACTTCGCGTCCAACAGGTGGGGTGAGATTCACTGGTGTTCCTCCCATAACCATCCACTTAAATACGTTACAGGATTCTAAATATAAACGAGACTGATACAAACGAGCAATAGGGTTCAGGGTATATGACTAGTGGTATGGCAGCTAGCCGATGAACTCCTGTCAGATATCAAGCGATTAGTAAAATTGAGAGAGATTCATAAGAAACATCAACGAGCCGAGCTTAGTGATGAGTCAAGATCTACATCGCTTAGAACGATCGTGATGGGATATTGTTGATATGTCAACTTTTTAGCCGACCTCCTCGTCAGCACTCCGTTACCCTCCTCGGTAACCGCACACTCAAATGGTTCCGCTTTGAACCACTTAAGTGATTTGTCTGAAAATCGTGATAGCCGCCGCTTCCTAGTACCCGAGTACAGTTTCTTAGTCAATTGGTAGATCGACCAAGTCCAGTCCTCTCTTGGCAGTTCTGGAGACGTCAGATGATGCCCAACAATGATCCCTCTGGTTCAGAAGGATGTTCCCTCGTAATATGCCCTTAGTCAGGGATGTGCAGTAGCCCCAATCCGTTTCCAGGATGGTAAGGCACTTTCTGTGATTGCTCCATTAGCAACTTCCCACTTCAACCCTTTACCAGGATTGTCAACCAGCACCTTTCTAATGGTTCGTGACACATTATATCCCTTTTAGCTAACTGCTCAGGCCAGCAATAGCCCTCGTGAGATGACGTCGTATTGTAGTGAAGTACATTATAGTATGTTGCAACTCGAGCAGATTTGAATAAATGCCTGGGTGCCCCAATACCAGGTCTGTCAGTGCAAATCAGGGTGGAGGGCTCATACAAATTGTCTGTGAGTTGCACTCAGATTGGAAGGGGTTCAAAGCAGACTTATGTGCTGTACAGCAAGAGATTGAGGGGATACCTTGACATGAGATTCACTCAACTTGCGCAGAAGACATCGAGTCCAGCTCTGGACAGAGATGAATTAATAAAAAACAGGAATGAAAAGAGAGCAGATACAGATAGCTAGCGTGGTGTCAACTGATTCTTCGACCTTGAACGATGAGTAGGGAAATGTAAGAAGCAGACAAATGCGCACTGCTTATCTCCAGCCAGAAGTCCGTGGCCATGGAAGTGCGGGTGAATTGCGATGAGCAATAACGACCTGCCCCAAGGAAATGAACCAAGTTTTAAAACTGAGAAACCACGTGGCCGTAGGTGTTCCGGTGGAAATTGATGATGAAAGAAAAGAAAAAGACTCACCTCACTCCTCCACATGACTCGGATGCTGAGGTTGTTAGGGTACATAAGATATAGTATCGCCGGGAGTATGAAGAAACAGAGTCCGCTGAAAGGTCAAGTGCTTGCATTTCATGCGAATCTTGGGATATGACCGGCAAGATGGGGAGATCTTGATACCCCATAGCACAAGCCTCTGAGATTAGTCGGAAGAGTGAGATCGAGCCCAGTATTGAATATTGTGTTTTGAACATGATAATAAGCAAGTAGTGCAGCATGATCGTGAGCTTGATACCAAGGTCTTCAAGGTAAGTAAGCAGTCTTGCAGATTCATGAGTCCCATGTTTGCTAGTGGGTTGATCTTGGCCTTGATGTCGTTGCAGCACATACAAGGGGAGAGCCATATACTGGAGAGCGGAAACAATGAGGGGGGAAAGGAAGGAAGTGGGGCTAGGCTTCGCAGGCTGCTCTTTTGAGTCCACTTTGAGTGCTGAATGAATAATACTGCTATGGCATGGAAGGGTGTCATACCACACCACCCATGGAACATCTGGAACTGCAGAGCCGATGAACACCTCAGGGGGAGTTGTCTTGATGAGCTTGGGTTGAACCAAGGTTGAACTATCTGTTGAACTACACTAGGCACTTGAAAGACATATAAATGGGGAGAGAAACAATGAACCTCAAGTGACACCACTCGTAGAAGGTGTGCAGCTATCTGGAAAGTATTGCATTGCGGATTTTAACAGCTTCGAAAATTAGTACATGGTGGTGGCATGTGCATACTGATACGAGGCATCTGCTTAGCACATGAGGTATAGGCAAGTATGGAGGGCCTTGTGGTTCAGAAGAATCAAATCTTGGGGCTGCACACTGTGGTGATCTATAGAATACCTACAGTAGACAGAGAGGATAACTGTGAATGAAACAAATCTGGCAGGCAAGCCTCAATGGATTTGGTGGAAGGGCAACTCTCATGCTGGAGACCCAAGTACTGTTGCTCTGCTTCAGATTCCCACGGAGGCTGATGCATACCACATCTCTGTCACTGCAGGGATCAATTAATTTTTCCCATGGAAAAAGAGCCTTTTAAAACGGGAGATTTTACAAATCCTTGGTTTTCCATGGAGGAAAACGGAGTAACAAAGGAAGCTCCTTTGTTCGTGGGTTTTCCAATTAAGAAAAAGGCGCCTTGTAAAAATCTCCCATTTTAAAAGGGCCTTTTTCAATGAGAAAAATTTATCTATCCCCGCAGTGTGTTGGAGAATATTCCCCGCCACGATGTTGTGTCATACTTCAAGGTATGACAGTGGCAGCAAAATCTGATGCCACCCCCAAAAAAGCAAGTTGCCATCAATTTTCCTCCTCCGTATCTTGAGCCACACAATGGACTTTCAGACAGGATTTTTACATAGAATGGTTTCTACAGCCACTCTGTAATTTTATTTCAATTAAAAACTTAAAGGATTGCGTCAGAAACAGACCAGCACCACGACTTTCAGTCTTCCTTTATTCACACACAAACACCACAAAGCAATGTCTGACAACGCGTCTGAAGTGCATATGCACCCCTACCAAGTACAAGGCCCTCCTCTTCTACAAAAATCATGACAAAATGTCCTGGGACAAGGGAGAAGGCGGAAAATTGATGGCACCTTCCTTTGGGGGGGGTGGCATCAGATTTTGCCCCCCACTAAACATGTCAAATCAGTGCATTGACAGTAGCCATGGAACCTGTGCTCCCCAGACCCTTAAACTCCTCCCATGCTGTGTTGCATTGCTTACTCTGATCCCAACTATACCCCCGGCACTTGCTGGGGAGTCGAAAAAAAAAACTGAGATCCTCCCCCACTATGACGGCACTAGATTCCTGCCCCACAATGACCCCTTAGCTCAGCGGCAGAGCATCTGATTCCAGCGTACCCGATGGTCTACCACTGAGTCAGCCTCCAGAAGGTCGTCCGTTCAATCCGGGCAGGGGTCAACCTTTTTTCGATGAGCTTTCTCACTCCCGCACATGTTGTAAATTCCACCCATTGCTCCACTTGTTGGACTGTCTATCCCATTTAATTTTCTCTCCCACTCGTTTTCCATCTTATTTACTCAATCAGCAATCAGTAAACTTGCTTCCAGAAAATTACTCTCCTAGTTATTCTACAACATCCCCGAGTTACTGTATACCAGTGTTGTCACTGACTCTGTCTGGATACAGTAAAGCTGACCGAAATTCGGCAATCTCTGGCAGTGTGACTGATGTGACCCAGCCTCCTCAATACAGTGTTGTCAGTCAGCTATGTCCTCGCATCCAGCTCGGGGCTTAGGGTTATGACACGCACTGAGCAGAAGCCGTGGTGCTCCGCAAGGCGGGGCGATACCTTGGCCTCCAACAACTTCTCTGTCATTGAGAATGCCTCTGTTGCCAGTACAGGCTTTCAAGGGACTGCTCCACCTTCCTTGGCGTGGGAGAAGATTGACCACCTTACCGCTGATCGATGTGCTCTGAACCTATCAAGAAAACACCAACCAAAACCAAACCTACACACAGAAGTGCGTCGGAACGGAATGGAAGTGCTCGAGACGTGCACAGACGAGTATCAGACCCTGGTACAGGGCCTTATAAAAGGTTGCAGGGAATGGTATAGACCTCGGAAAACGAGGAGAGAGCGTTGTATTGTTTATAGAAGTCCTTGGAACGAAGTCCAAGTACTTGAGCCTTGATCTGAGTGAACCGGAATGGAACCGGAACAGACAGGAAAGCTAGTGGAACGCAACGAGAGTGTCGATGCGAATGGAACCCTTGCTGTGCAAGTGTTCAGGCTAGATCTGAGTGAACGAGGATTGACCCCGAACAGACAGGAAGCACAGAGCGCGATGATGTGAAGCTTCTCAGCTATGAAAACAAACGAGAACGGGGTGCTGGGGTTCTCCAAAGCGAGGTGGATGCCGATTCCAAGCGTGATACAGTAACAACAATAGTGGGTTCCGATCCCAAGCGCTCCAGACAGTGGTGGGTTCCGATCCCAAGCTCTTTAACAGTAGTGGGTTCCGATCCCAAGCTCTTCACAGTAGTGGGTTCCGATCCCAAGCTCTTCACAACACAACCCCAAACAACCAAGTGCGTACTCAGCACGATCCCAACAGTTCCAGTCAAACGGCAAAGTCGGATCCCAAGGATACCGATCACAAAAGAAAAGATTCCAAGCCAAGATGAATTCTAAGAGACACCTTGTTCGAACTCCCCGGTATCTGCCCAATTCGCAAGTGTTTCCGCCCTACTAGCCGTGGGGTGATTCCGTGAAGTCGCCCAAGATGCCCCGCTACTTAAATACAAAGCGCTGAAACACATGGAAACGTCCAAGAATAAGTAAGTATGAGTAAAATAGTCCGTTTATCCGTCCGACTTCCGTGTATCCGTCGTAAGAATGGGTATCTGAGTCCTTCTATTGGCTGCCCATGCCGAGCACGCCATCCTGGTGCGATCCTGTGCACATGTACGATCGGTCAGACTGCCGGAGCCATCACAACCGATCCCTTATGTCGATCCCGACTGTATATGCTGTTCCTCCCAATGCCGGTGCCTTTCCCGTCTACCGGAACATCTGGAACCGAAGCCCCCAGTCCGTAGCTCTCCAGGGATACCACATTCAAAGTACTTCCCAGTATGGGTACTTGCTCCAGGAGCCGACGAGTGTAGGTCCAAGTGATCGGACCCTCGCTTAGTGACCATCCCTTATCCGGAATGCCCGGGACGGCGTGGATCCATCAAGATATGATGTTCCCAGCCCCTTCCAGTGATCATATGATCAGAACGCGTTACGCGTCTCATGTCCAACACACCACAACAGGATTCCAGTCCGTCCCGTCTAGTTCCGTGAGCGGAATAGAGTAGACTTCACGTTCCACTTGGTCGTTGGGCTACACATCTCCTACAGGTTTCGGAGCGAGCACATGCCAATGGTTCCAGAGTATTCCTCCCCGTTCCCATCCGTTACTCAGTGGTTCCTGCCCTGCCAGCTACTTGGGAACCTCAGTACTGACGCTTCTGGAGCATAGCCCGGCACATGTCTTGTCATGAAAACGCGAAAAAGCGAAGATTTCATGGGTGGACAAATCCCGTGCTTATCACCGCGATGAGCCAGACACCAGGGGCTGCATAAGTACTTGCAACATTTCTTTCCCTGCTACTACAATCTGCGCGACAGGTATGTGTCCCCAATTTGAACTTGCAAATTCTTACTTACCCCTGCCTCTAGCCCGCACGACAAGCGAGCCACTTTCTTCATTGACCGCGACGGCCTTATTTTCATGTATAGATCATTCTGTGTCGCCGAACTCATGGCTTGTGCGGACAAAGTCCAGCATGCGCACAACATACTCATAGGCTCCAACCGTGCCAGCCACGCCTGACAGGAGCATTACCGTGAGGGTCAACACGGGGACCACATTGCAATAATCTTTGGTCACCATCGTCAGTCAGCTCAGGTTCGTTGCCTGCTCACTGTCTTGTCTGTGTTCTATCTCTGAATACCCTAGCAGGCCCCACGGCTCACAAAGTGGCACTTAGACTACATGGAGCGCATGAACAAGTTCATGGAGCTGCCAATTGTGAAAGCAATAATGTATGTTTCTGCGTTTTCATGCACTTTTCTCATCACTAACATTCCGCAGAGGCATAGTTTCCAATATTGTTACCACCATCTTTCCCAGAATGGCCACTCACTTCCTGGCTGACGTGGAGTGGCACCGGAAGAGGTATGGCATCAAACCAATGTTCGGCCTCTTCTGGAACCTCTGCCTCAATGCCTGGTTCCCTGGCCAACACCGTATCCACTGTCGCCCTCATGCTGACAAGGCGAACCAAATTGGGGTTTGTGTTCTTTTAATCTACATGTTGAAGACAGCATGTGTGTTTTTCCTTACTCCTTTTTGGCTCTGAACGCTCACGTACATACAGTGCAGTTTGATCACCACAAGTACACCTGGCTGGTGATCTGGGAAGCGGGTGTTGTGGTAGAGCTGCCGCCATGGGTCATTCTGATCTATCCCTCAGTCTTTTCTATCATTTCAACCTGGATGTCAGCTGTAGGTTTTTCGCTTCTCAGCCTTCCTTTTCTTCCCTCTGATATATCTTACAGAGATTGAGTTTGTGACTATGGACAGCTATGCTCACCCCACACCCGAGAACTCCCACCCCATTGTCAACAGCGACAACGAGGGTCATGGAAGCTTCGTTTCTTCAATCAGTCCCTATGTGGACTGGCCCAGAAACCGGCTTTGATACCCTGAAGAAGGCGAGGGCAGCTGGCCTCTCTGGCATCTCGGACTTTGGTGCTTCTGTACAGGAGGCTTTTTCTTGTTCTGAATACTTCCACAAGATCTCTCCTCTATTTTAGATACTATTAACATACTATTCGCCTACTACCGTATGAATCCTTTCGTATCCAGGATTTCTAGCCCAGATTGATTCACCTCTTGTCACATCGGTCTAGCACTGAGTCAGCCTCCAGAAGGTCGTCCATTCAATCCGGGCAGGGGTCACTTTTTCGTTCCTTGGACAGACACTGTCATGAAGATGCTCACAGTCAGGTGGTTCATCAAGCACATGAAAGCAGTGGCTCTATACTGTATTTTTGTGTCTGGTGACTTCCAGAGGCTCAACAACATCACATGTGAGAGTTTAAACTGTACATTGCATTCATTTTCATTAAGTTTCTGAGTCGTGTAACACCAGGTGGCTATGGGGCCTCACTGCAACTCTCCAATGCCTGATTGCTAGCCTTCAATATCCTACTGGACACCTACACAATACTTGACTCAAGTGGATGTGGTATGGGTGTCTTCCAGGTACTCATCACAAGTACTGTAGTGTTTCAACTGAATGTTCATGTGATGGGTAACGGATGGTCGTGAACTGAACATTTTTGGCATGAGTGACGGTGACTTTTCAATTTTGTCAGTCAAATAGGCGGAAAAAATGCCAAAATTTTCAGTCCGGCATTTGCTGGAATACTATATAGGGTAATTTCCCACTGATTGCCGAGAAATGAACACCAAGTTCAGTGAACATTCGAGGTGACGGGTGACATAGTGTGAACATTTGGTTGAAAACACTACAGTGGACAGTGACAGTGCTTAGTTCGGCTTGGCAGACAGTGCAAATCCCGCAAGGTCAGGATTTCCCTCTGGGGATAGAATGAGCTCTAGTGTGTTCTCCAAGCAGAGGAACAAGTCAAACAGTTTCGGGGTTTGGACGAATGATAATCTGCCACTGAGGAATCGGTGGGGGAACTGCTGAGTGCCAAATGCATTTTCCTATCTGCCAATGGCTTCTGGCCCTTGCCCAAACTGGTTCCATTTTCGTTGGAGAGTGTCATAAGTGGCTTGTAAGGTGGGCCAAAGTTTCTCAACCTTCCCGCAACTGTCTGTTATCCCAAAACATTCACATGAATCATCTAATTCTATTTACTTGCAAAATAGACAGGTTGCGCAAAAGCCGCACAGGCCACATGCGGCTTTTGTGCATTGCGCAAAGCCGCAGAGAAAATGACATATCTGGGGGCCCAGAACTGTATAAATTTTCTTAGAATACATACAATTCAAGTGTTTCGGAGCCTCTGGGGTATGCAGAGTCAGCAAGGAATCAGCCAACAGCGCATCAAAGCATCGCTTGTCAACCGCTTGTCGCCACCGAGTATTTGATGTCATACATTTTGGCCATAAAAGTGCGGCTCTCCCACTCTCTGCCTACCGAAATCAAACAATATTGTGGAAACAGAAGTGCCAGGTACTGACTGTGAGGTTGTAAGTCAGATAGTCTACTCACCTCACTCAAAACAGAAAAAAGTCGTGCAGCTTTGTGCAAGTGCCAAAAGCCGCATGCAGCTGTGCACAACCTGTCTAATAATTCACAGTACACCATTGTTCAAAGTGATTGTTGAACACTCTGATTTCTATTCCGGGCTGGTGACATGATATTGATTATGT